TTTAGGTGCCATGCACACAGAGCATCAATAAAGTACTTACTATCTATCTATCTATCTTCACTGAAAACCACCAGATTCCACACCTGCACAAAATGAATTGAAGCAGCTGTGAAAAAAATGGATCTAATGTTAACTTTTTATTTCTTTGGTGAGTTGGAAGACATGTATGGTTGCAACCTAAAGCTTTTGAAAAGCTTCCAGCCTTTGTCGCCTCAAATGATCTTATCCCACCTTAACCTCAGGAAATCAGAAACTTCCCATACACAACTTTAACATCCTTTTCTAAAAGAGAGGTTGTCATCTAATTTTAACAGAATGGTTAATGAGGCAAATAGTATAAAATAATGTTTGAAGATAAAGAAAAATTGAATACATACTAAAAGTCACATTCTCTCCACTTCACTTTTAGAGCTCTGATTTAAGTTACAAATAGTTAATTAAAACAAGGGAATAAAAACTGCAGGAATCCGGAGTTGGCTGGCAGCATTGTAGCCTTTTGTTGCGTTGTGAGATCCATACAAAAAATGGACTCATGTTAATCAATATAATAACAATAATCAATATAATTTGTATTATTCAAGTTCATTTTTTACAGTATTTTCCTGCTCTTTCAGTGCAATTTGCACCCTTTTATCATTATTTACTACATTTTGTGAAATAATTATAAAAGATTGATCGATAAGTTTCATTCAGTAGTTCAAGCATTGATTTTCAGAAATGTTATCTAATTTGGAATTATTTATATCAATGACGGATGTACACCGATCAAAAGGTTCAATATTTATATATCCATTTGTATCAATAGAAAGCCAGAGGAGTGTCTGTAATGAACCTTATTAATCACAGTATTCATTTGGAAGTGGACGCCTCTCCCTGACCCCCCCCCCTCCTCTTGTCTCTTCACCTCTCCATCTCTCCCCCTGACTCATCCACCCGTCTATCTGCAGTCACACTCGTGTCCGTCTGACGAGATTTCACTGACATCTCGTGCTGACATATTCAGACTATTGTTCTGCTGCTCCGTGTGGCACAGGTGGGCCCCCGTCCCTCCAACATGGCCCAGTTACAAGGCGGCGCTTGCTGCCAAATCGGGCCCCGCTCATCCGGGGGACTGGGGAGCTGGAATGGGTTTGACCGTATTGTGCTGCACCTGCTTCACCCTCGCACCAGATCCCCCTGCTTCGCCTGCCATTCTGCTGCCGCGCAGAGCACCTCTCCCCTCACCGAGCCCCCCTGCGTCCCGTAAAACCCGTAAAATCCACTGAACTTAGCCGCTCTGATGGCCGTGGCCAAAACAGCATCTGATGTGCCTTATTTGTTGACTGTGCGAGATTAGCTGCAGAGGGTACACGTCGAGGGGCTTACCATGCAGAGACGGAGCAAAGCCCCCACCCCTCCATCAAACACCCACCAGGCCTGCCAAATAATGAGAAATGGAAGATTCTCCAGCTTGTCTAAAGCCCTCGTCACAGTCGGTCCGCGCACACTCCTGCTCCCGAGCCAGACTGTAGTGCGGATACTGTAAGAGTCCCCCCACCAGACTCCTGCAGATGCTCTGCAGCTCAGGAGCCAATGTCCTGGTCTCTGTGTCCATAATGCCTCAATGGAAGGCATCCACGTGCACTGCGTGTGTGTGCAAGGATGTGCTTTTGTTTTCTCAATCAGAAAAGATAGGAGATGTGCAGCTCAAATATGATCAGCACATTTATTAAATCAAGTTCTGTGCTTATTTAAAACGTTCCAAACTTCTGCTCACGCCTTAGACTTTTTTTCAACACAAGTGCATCGTTGACTGAAATTTAAGACATTTTTTGTTCACTAATACCCACAGATTTTCTTTAAGGAAATCACTTCTCCCCATCAGAAAGTCAGAAAACTAAACCTTACTAAGGGCCAATGTATTTATGGGACGTAGTTCAAGAGTTTGACTATCAGAGCAATGACAAATGACTCAATACTAAATTGTCTCAGTAAACCAAGTTGGCTCAGAGGGGTTTTTTTCAATCCACCTTTTGGGGCACGAATTGGAAATCAGAATTGTGTGACACATGCTTATTAGCATTTATTTTTCTCTTAATCTTAATTACTGCATTAAGGTTCGTATAACAAAGACCACCTGAGTAGTATTATCAGCAAATGTGTCTTTTGCGTGAACATAATTAACTAATCACTGTGTAAACCACACTATCACAAGAGATGCAATAATAGGTACAAAAAACACACCGGTTACAGAGTTCAGGTCTGAAATCAGAAAACATATTTACATGTGCAGGTTTTACTCTTATTTTACTCTAAATTCAGTTAGTTGGTTATCACACATTTTCTCCATCCTTTCTCCCAATTTGTAAACCAATATTGGCATACTTTGGGTCTATTTAAGGTTTGCTGCCTTAATGAAATGACGCTGCAGCTTGATCTTTTTTTATCAGAGATTTGGACTGAAGACAGTGAGAGGACGGTCTGTGTAAAGCGAACACACATTTTTACTTGATTTGTTTTCAATACTGTAAAAATCATCTTATCCATGCTGATTTATTTCAGTCTGAATAAACCTTTGGATTGTCCTATTTAGGATACCGTGATGCATTTATTTGTACACTTACTGTGCCAAAGGGATACACTCTCTGTATCAAAGTGTATTCATGCTTACTTGCAAAAGACCTGGTAGAGATGAAGGTATGCGACTACATGGCCAGTAAAACATGATGATTCTTAGCAGATATATGGCCATCGACCTGCATGGTGGCTCCAAGGGTCACACTCAAAGCCACAAGGTCTTGAGTTCAAAACCAAATAGAGCTTTTATTTTTGAGTTTTGAGCACCAAATCTTCCGGATGCTAATTAAACAGTTGTCCTCGTAAGAACAGACACTGGTTCTCATCCACCGAACCTTCCTAAGTTTTTTCTTGAATTTGTTTGCGAGAAACATAATAACATTCTTATAATTATGAATCAATAGTCTTGTCAATTGCACATGCCAGTTGATTGGCATTAACAAGTAAACAACCATTCAGTTCCCATACAGAAAATGGAAATGGAAATAAATGTGAGAAAAATTAAGTCAAGAATATCAAAAGAAGTCTATAAAATGCATGTGATGCTATTACTCTTTCAGTGTTGCTGTAGTGTTTATTTTAAAAGACCAACATACTGTAATATATATAATAATTTTTTTAATCACAATTTAAAAAAAAAAAGGAATTGTGTAACTTACATTTTACACAATTTTAAAACTGTAGACTTGAAGAAAATGCCATAAGTAATTATTAGCAAAAACATGACGGTACTCAAGTGTGCTCTTCAAAGTGTGTAGACTCTGTTCTTCAATTACAAAAAAAATGGAAACATTAAAGATTGTCCGAATCTTTGTAAACACTGCGTTTCAGAAGAAATGTGGTTTTACAGTTGGTCAATAAGGCCCTTTGTTTGTGAGAAAACATGTTGCTGTTGAGTATTTCTTCACGTCATTGAGCCATTCACCATCCCTGCTTTGGTCATCTGCATGAACAGATATGGCTGGAAAATGTATATTGTGATTTAGCTAAACTTATCCTTTGCGCTCCGTCTCATATGATGCTGCTCACTGCCTCTCCATATCTAGAGTTAATCCGAGGAGCCATTTTTCCCATCAAGGATTAATTAAGGAATAAATAAAGTAGCTTCCCTTTTCTGATGCAGTGTCCAGGTTACAGTAAGCACATGTCGACTCTGATGTGAGGTGGTGCAGAAAGGTGTGTGTGTGTGTGTGTGTGTGTGTGTGTGGTGTGTGTGTGTGGATGTGTGTGTGTGTGTGTGTGTGTGTGTGTGTGTGTGTGTGTGTGTGTGTGTGTGTGTGTGTGTGTGTGTGTGTGTGTGTGTGTGTGTGTGTGTGTGTGTGTGTGTGTGTGTGTGGTGTGTGTGTGTGTGTGTGGTGTGTGTGTGTGTGTGTGTGTGTGTGTGTGTGTGTGTGTGTGTGTGTGTGTGTGTGTGTGTGTGTGTGTGTGTGTGTGTGTGTGTGTGTGTGTGTGTGTGTGTGTGTGTGTGTGTGTGTGTGTGTGTGTGTGTGTGTGTGTGTGTGTGGAGGCCTGCGGCTGCTGAAGATTAGCTGTGCGAGAGCTCCCTCTTGGTGCCAGTCGGCCTACTGTTGGTGAGCAGGCTGAAGCAAGAGGCCCAGACAGCCACACACACACACACACACACACACACACACACACACACACACACACATTGGGTGAGAGCATGTAAACAATGACAAAGGTGAAATGTATTTGTTGTCAGTATTCTCAGAAGGGTATCAAAATGTTTTCACAAGTTGTGCTTCATTTCATTTTTTTTTTACATAATTTCTGCTGTTAGGTATACTGTTTTAATTGATTTGTCCTGAAATTATACCGTCATGAATTAATCTGCGTAATCCAGTCGTTATGTTTTCAATTGTTATGTTTGTTAATCATGTACAATGTGTTATTATTGTGCTGTGTTTTACAGCTGCGAGAAATAGACATCAAAATAATTGTAACTATCTTTTCATAATCAATAAATCAAAAAAGTATCTTTTATGCAAACATTTCCAGGACATTTCCTAATTTTAGCCATAACTCAAATATGGAGATTTCATACTTCCCATTTTTCCTTATCGATTTGAAAATATATATATATATATATCACCTCGAAATGTTTCTATATTTTCAGGCATTTTTTAGACCTCTCGTTTATCAAGAAAATAATGTTCCGATGAATACAGTAGATAATGGAAATAACTGTTGGTTATTGTCTTTTTGTGTATATTTAACATTATTGCATACGTTTTCCTTTCCGGGTTCATTCAATTTTTTTTTTTATGTAATAGAAATGTTATCAAAGAGTCAGTCATAAAATAATGATGACTACACTGAAAAGCAAATTAGATTATAAGAAAATAATTAGAAATATTAGCACATTTAAAAAAAGTATTGTTTTTTATTGTATTATATTACTTTATTAAATGTGTATTTCTCTCTCCCTTTGTGTTTTTTTTTAGGGTCGGTGTATGAATTTCAACCGTGTGCAGCATTAGTAGAGGGGAAGGCTGTGTGAAACCAACATGTGCTGATCGCTGTGGACAGAGAAGAAGTTCAGGTCTTTTGAAGATTTCTAATCCTGCAGCTCAAACCACTCTCTGCTCACACGGCTCTACTCTGCACACAAAGTTTCCTTCCTGGTTTTCTGCTCTTAAAAACACGGGGTGAATGTTAATATTAACTCAATAAGTTATTAAACTACCTTTTTCTATGATCAAATATTTTTTTAATTAAGATGAAAATAAGCAGAAGGGGCGCCCCAGCGTTCAAACTCGGTTAGCTTTTCGTGCGCACCGAAGGCTTAACATATTCTGACCATATTGTGCCTTCTCTGAAAAACCTAATTTCATGGACACAGACGGAAGCTATCTAAAGAAAGAGAAAAAAACGGAGAGAAAGGGGCTGTTTGCCTTTGGCGTGGAAGTCGGAATAATCCCAGTGGGCCTCACAAGTGCAGAAGTCCGTTCCTTTCGGCAATGTCTCATCACAAATCCTGTCCAACTTCAGTGTGCTGCTGCCCGCCGGCTGCCCTTTGACTGGCTTATCTTGTCATTTTAACACTGAGAAGTGCACACGCATGACAAATTGTAGACAGGATGCCCCAAGGTATTGGAAGGCACCAAGACTTTGCCCTGTAGTTTCTCGTTTTTTTGTTTTGTTAAGACACCTTCCTTTCATTATGCACTCGGGACAAGAAAATTAATAGAGCGTTATTCGACCGCAGGACAGCCTCCTGACCAGGCGATCTCCAGCTAGGTTTGAGGGATTGATGCCTTGAAGACCTTGACATGGCGCTTGGTGTTTTTTGCCCCTGTTTTCAGTGCAGTCTGCTCTCTGCTCAGTAAGGCGTAGCACATCACTGCCCATAAACCGGCCTATCAGTTAAGACTTCAGAGATATAGATACAGCTGCCCGGACCCTCCTCTGCCCACCGCCTCAATCCTCCGAGGGGCTTCCCGGACGCGTCACAACCCACTAGTTCCCTTGGCACCAGAATATCAAAGTTTAATTAAAATAATTAAAGGCAACAGCAAGCAGCAGCCTGTGAAGACTTGGCTGTCTCTTTTTTATGCCTTTTGACATTGAATGACCTATAACTGCGTTCTTCTCAGGAAAAAAGAGGACACTGCGCCGCGGTGACGCTGCGCCACGTCCAAAACGCAAACCCAAAGTAACGGATGCGACGGACGGATAAGTATTGTTCATTTCCAGAAATTATGTCCCCCCTCCGCCCCCCCTCCACCCCTCACCCCAAAAAGCAGGGTATATATACTTATATATATTGTGGATTTGTCAAGCGTGCTGTCATGACGCCAATCCCAAATGATGTTAGTGTGAGCGGAAACACTGTGGGGGAGGAAAGGGGGCAGCAGCTGAAGAAAAAGGCTCGAATGATCCAGTCACTTTGGATACCGTACCTCAGATGAAAAATGGATATTCGAGTCGAAACCTGACAAAGCGCGCCGGCTTTGACGGGAAGCGGTATAGACAATGACCAGTGGCTGGGTCAGTGGGATGTCTCTGTGCAAGCAGGGAAGCTTATCAAATGACACTAAAAATAAGTTCAACAACCATCAAGTTTGAGGGGGAATGGGTCTCACACTCGGCGGGCACGAGGGCGTGCTCCACGCCACTCTAATTATTCCTTTGTTTCCTCTCCGTCCCGATCGCAGGGACATAAATAATTCCAAATCAAATTCCTCGGGGTGTGCTGGTATTTATGTCCGACTTAAACGCTTTTAACCTCTTGCATAATTTTGTGGGCTGACATTTAATAGGCTCATCAGCCTCTCGCTGGACGGTCGCCGGACGAGGAGATTTTAGTACTCGGATCTTTTTTTATGTTACAACCAAGAGCACAGGAATGTTATTAACCCGAACTAATGAGATATTTACATAGCAGTCACAACACGAGTCGGCCCGCTAATAACACGTCACATGCCCCCCCCCCCCCCCCGTGTCCCCTCCACTCATCATGCTATGCATAATATTCATTTTACCACCTATTGTTGGAGATTTTTTATAAGTATTTGTTGAATTTCTGTGTGCCTTTTTGATATTTGATTAAGAGAAAAAAAGTATTATTGTATTTCTGCACTTCAGTGAAAAAAAGTTTTAAAAAATGTATAATTTAATTTAAAACAATGTATTCGCTTAGACCAACTTATTATCAAATCGAAAAAGTAGATTGTCACAATTGTTGATTTATCTTTGGCTCATTTTCATCAAAACATTTTTTTTTTTTTGGACTGAATTTCATTTGCATGCACTATATCTGCTACATTATTTCAGTTGCAAATAATGTAATTCATAATTTTATGATGTTTTAATTGTATAGTTGTTCTGTTATACTGCCTTTTTATATTCACGTAGCACCTTTAAGTCCAGGTTCCAGGCACACAAGCTGCACAAATGTGAGAGTTTATACAAAAGAAAGAAAATTATGTTTTTTTGCAACGCTTTTTTTATGAGTTTGTACACTGTTATTATTTTCTACTTGTCTTACTTGCCTGTATGTTGTGTCAAATATATATTCATGAAAGCGAGCCGTGTTCTTGTTTTTCTCGTGTGTCTCTCTTTCTAACACGTGTGTGTGCTGGTAGGGGTGGACATGCTAAAGGCAATCTTTAATTGGCCCTTACAGATTTATAGGGCCCGACAGGGAACGTGATTATTCCGAGTGTGTGTGGACAGAGGAGTGGACAGTGTGCAGCCTCTTCCCCTGTGAAGTCAGCCACCGGAGGCAACACACACACACACACACACACACACACACACACACTCAGAATCCCTCCAAGGTCTTCACCGCCCCAAAAATGAGGTCTTGCATTTAGTAAAGATATGCACTCGTACACCTTCTGCTTCGTCCATGTTTGCATGCTGTGACAAGATGCCAACTGAGGTGTGTGTGTGTGTCCAAGTTGAAAGTAATGTCTCCTTCTTTACATTTTAGACGTCATAAAGATGAAAAGGGTTGTTTAGTAAATTCACTTTTCGACTCTAATTTCTCTCAAATTCATTGTGTTTTTTCCAGATTTAAAATAAATAAAACTTTTTCTGTCCACTGGTGTTTATCAGTTAAAGGCCATATTCAACATAAAATAAGATACAAATAAAACAATTCATAAAAAATAAATTAAACTTTGTTTCTGTTAATTTTAGAGAAATATAAAAGTATATTTAAAAAAAAGTCAAAAGTGGTTGAAACCAGCTAGCATTGGAATAAATAATGTAATCACTATACTTCGGTAAAACACTTAAGTCTTGTTTTCAAAATGTTATGTAATGCAAAAATGGAAAATATCAATAGTAAAATAGTCATTATGCAAAATGGCCCTGTATTTGTATTGTATATAACGTAATTGATGCATAAAGTTTTAAATAGTATTTGAATGCTGTCACTCTTCACGTTTGAGCTATATAAATAGTAGGTCACAGTAAAGTAGAGCATTTATAACAATGTATCATAGCTATAACCTTTTAAAGAGCATTTATGTCCAATAACTGTAGCTGTAAGGCAAATGTAGTGAAAGTAGCACATGGAGATACACTAGTAATGTACCTTTTATATATAACTAAGTGATAGTGGCTTCTCCCACATTCCAGCTAAAGACAAATATAGTAATAACTTTTAGTTTTACAATCCACCAGAACTAAGCATTTCATATCAGCTGATGAAGTGAAACTGTGGAGCCAGCTTCTGTCATGAGCGTTATAATTAAACAGGCTTCTTATACATAGTAAATACATCACAATACAAAGGAACTAACAACCATAAAAACTGTGGTACCTTCATCTGTTCACACATTTTCTAATGTAACTTAATCGTTTCTCAAAAACATCATCAGACATTCATTTTATCTAAACTTTAGAAAAAGATTATGGAATGAATTATCTGATTAAAGCATAAATGAGCGAGGGAAAAAAATGGGATTGCTGCAAAACCTTTGGTTGCTTCCACTATGAGGATGTTTATTTAGTTCTCTCTCATGTCTCCATACCCTTATGAACTGAAAGTTATTGGGATTTTAAGGTGATATAAACTTTATTATCCCCCATCAGGAAACACGAGGAAACTGAGCAAACTGTTCAGACAACTCATTTGAAAAGTTAAAATGGCAATGTCTTTATTTTCTGACATTTAATCCACTAGAAAATCAACCTATCAAATAATGTAACTACACACATAGTGGTGCAGTGAGGATGTATTTTTGTAGGCCCACCGGAAGTTAGCAACGCAAGAGAAAATACAATTGCTAGAAGCTAACGTTAGCCGATAAACCAACTACATCATGGAAGCATGGCTGTGCCTCGACTGCTAAGCTAAGGGCTGCTAACGTCTCATTTATTAGCGATTAGCCACTTGTTTCCAACCCCTGTTTTTATGACACATGAAGCTTCGGACAATTACGAGTTGGGTATTAACTAACGCATTTCTGTAAAGCGTAAAATGTCTTAAACTTGCAAATCTTAATTCATCTAACCAAAAACAAGTAAAAAAAAAACTGTTGACTTTGAGACGCGGGAAGCGAAAGTGCTAACATGCTAACTCATTTCCGGGTTTTAGGATTCATTCCTGCACCATTCAATTGATATATGGTAAAAACATTATGAATTGCAGTCTGTGTTCCAGCTGTACTGATGAGTACCAACGTCATGAGCTCTTTGTTTCCTGTCTCTTAGTTTACTCAAGTCTTGATTACAAACATTTGACTGAAAAACAGCTGTGGGAAACAAACAAAACTTTGAGTCATTCTGTTTTTTTCAAAGTGAACTGCTGATTCTGTATACATTAGACTAAACACATCCTCTGTGTCATTCTGATCCACACACAGTTAAAATGTCACCACTATAACAAGCTATGGAGAGATCAGGGAGCATGTTTTCATTTAACATCTTGATTCAAATATCTGCTTATCTGCTCTGTTTACTGTTGTGCTTATGATGATCATCAGCTGCAGCATGCAGGCGGTGTGGCTTTCAACACAGCTGGCTGCAGAAAACACTTGAGCTAATCTGACTTCATTATGCATTGTGCAAAAGATGACGTTTTAAAACTGAAGTCTGGTGCCCAGTGGCGACTGGTCATTAGGGGCAGGTGGGGCACAGCCCCACCTAGTGTCAGCAGAAAGTATTACAAATAATGATTACAAAAATGCAAAAAAAAAAATAAAAAAAAATATAAAATATATTTTAAGATCATGTTTAATCATCTGATTCGTCTGTACATTGCTGTTTTAGTCTGTGTTCTTCTAATTAGTGTGTCTACAGTCATAGTGTGTGCCTATTGAGCTGTTTAGAGCCATGTGGGACAAAACCTGATTATGCCCCTTCCTCTCGCTGTGAAGTGAACGATGACTGTAAAAACTTCACTGCGCATGCTCAGAGTATTTTGTAATGAAATGTGTGTGGCAAAAAAATAATGACCAGAGGGGCATGGAGCTACCATCCCCACTATACGTCATCTCAAATCATTCAGAGCTGATTGGCTGTAAGTACGTGTGCCGCGAAAAGTGTGCTGTGTGAAGAGGAGACGAGAGAGCTGCAGTGGCGCGTCCTAAAACCAGGAAGTAAGCACGAAAAAGCAATGAGATTTCTCCAGAGGATTTTAGAAAATAGCTCGAAATAAGATCTGTGGGAAACGTACCTGTTAGATAAATGCACGTTTTGATTAGCCGGATAACATCCACATGTCTACCCTACTTATATAATTTTTTTATCATAAATCTATGGATTAGATTTATGATAGACTTTTGAAACTACAAGAACATAAGGAGGACTTTTACAAAAAAGTAATAGAAATGTTTGTCCAGAAGGATAGGAAAATGGACTTCATCTTCAAGTCAAGGTAAGACCGCCATTTTATTGAAAATGGGATCTTACTAAGAGAGAACAATTCAATATTTAAAGGGCCCATGTCATGGCCATTTCCACTGATCATAATTACATTGTTGAGGTATACTAAAATAGATTTATACTGTGCAATTTTCCAAACTCACATTGGTTTCGCATACAGCATCTCTGTCAAGCATGTGTATTCAGCAGTATTCACTTTCTCCACTAAACGACTCGTTGGAGCTCTTGCCCCCCCCTCCCTGTGAGCCTAGTGTGCTCCGATTGGTCAGCTCGGCCACTCGTTCTGATTAGTCAACCACCAGAGAGGCTGCGCCCATGTCAGTGCTTTTCCCGGCTGCTCTCAGCGTAACATCAGTCTTATCATGGCGTCGGTACAGCGGTATATTTTATATACATATATATTTTTAACTGTTGTTATAGAAGAGTGTGACGGCCCCAGGGCCTTTGTCTTACGATGGGGTGGAGCTGAAGAGGCTAATCAGCACGATCACGGACACCTCCGGACACAGTCTCTCTCCAAAGCGGCTGCAGGAAGACTAACTCTGCGATCCTCTCAACCACCTATCTTTGCATTTACCACAATAAATGTGCCGTGGTTTTGTAAACTCGTGTATGTCTCCTTGTCTTTCCGTTGTGGCCTACGAGCTACTCTCATAACAAAGAGTAAGTTATTTTTACCCGTTATAAACTACTACTGTTTGATGAGAAATCAAATCATGGTTTGCTATATATGAATTCAGGGAAGAAAGGATAGGCCTACTAAGTATTTCCATTCAACTTTATTTTTAGAAATGTACAAAATGAACATAAATATACATATATACACACGGTATATCATTCATTCCTCCTCCTCGCATCTTGCCTGCGCACAGTCGGTGCGGTGCCTTTTAGCACCCTCAGTAGTAGTAGAATCCCTTCCCCGTCATGGATTGTCCGCCAGGATCTGGCTGGACGAAATCAAATGCAAATCACAAAATATTAGAGAAACTTAGTTGTTTTAGATTAGTTAGTAGTAGTTGTGTAATGAACAGCTTGCCTGCTAATATGCTAACCTAGCTTTGTTTACCTTGGTAGCTAACACGATATGAACGTTAGCTTGGAGGAAAGGCAACTATAATGCAGTGTAATAAAACTACTATGAACAAAAGCTAGTGGTTCATATTAGGCTAGCAATAACGTGTTTATAATTGCAATCGTATACGGGTATTCTGCTACCATACAATGTAACTTGCATGAATACATTGTTTTGCGCTAGCATACAGCTAGCCTCGTTAGCTACATGCAGTATATGTACGGTCACAATGTACGGTAAATCACAGTACAGTATACTGTATGAGTATTCCGTGTGTGTGACTGCAGACATTCTCCTGCCATGACAAACATGTAAGGCCATCTGCTGACATTGTAGTTGATATATTTAAACGCTAGCAACGTAGCATCACAAAAATGTTTTTCTGACCAAAACTAGCTCTAGCTCCGTGTGTTAGATCGCTACGCCAGCTATAATGTAATTACGTTTCGCGACTGACCGGCAAATCACCCGGAGTATACTGTCAATAGGTATTTTGTGTGTGAATGCAGACATTCTCCTGCTATGAGATACATGTATGCAAGGCCATCTGCTGATATTAGAGTTGATATATGGAAACTCTAGCAACTTAGTTAGCACAGTTAGCACTGTGTCAATGGC